CCCCAAAACCCCAAAACCCCAAAACCCCAAAACCCCAAAAAAATAGTATTTTCACATAATTATTTGGAGAAATGGAACCACAACAGAACGAACAACACCTGTATGAGATCATGCAGGCTTTAGGAGATTTACAGGATGCATCTAAGGTGAAAGATACTGAGGAAAAGCTTAGTTCTGCCCCTCTTGATATTTTGGTGCCAAACTTGATCTTAATAATAGAATTAGAACCCCAAATTTTTGAAGATATCACTCCTCAGCAGCTCGAATATATAAGACTTCAAGCGGCAGTTCATTTGAAAAATATCTGTAGAGCTAAATCTCAAAGAAGAATTGCTAATTTCTTTAAAGAAACCTCAAGAGCTCATGAATTGCTCGAAAAAGTGGTTCAGATTCTTATAAAATCTGAAAACTCCATGGTAGTTGGCCAATTATCACCAGCGATTCTGCAAATCCTCCTTCAAATTCGAGCAGAAGGAGCTCTTATAGTTCAAACCATTAACGAAATATACACGAAGGCAACTAATAACCAAGATAATTTCCATCAAAAACTAATGACAGTTGAGGCTATTTGCGAAATTATTTCTGAATACTCCTCAAATCTAGACGTTCTAGACCAAATGAGAGAGGTATCATACCTATGGGAGACTGACTACCCTTCTTGTGTGAAGGCTTTAGTCCAGACCATGGAAAGTAATGACTCATCCCAAGAAGTTAGCTACATCAAGAACACCTTTATAACTTTGAGCATGATCATGCTCAAAATTCTAAAAATTCTGAACGAAGAGGAATCCTTAGAGTTTATTAAATACATCGAGGCTCTTAAGAAGGAAGTTTTGGAAATTGCCCTCAAAAGTGGAGAGACTCTTACAGACGAGGCTCAAGAGATGAACCTTAAGGTCGTGTATTCTTTACAAACGCTTGAAATTGGGCTAGTGAATTATATCTGCCTTGAGAAGAAAGACCTTCAACTCTATTTCCAGATTGCTGATTACTATATAAATGTGGCATTTGGTTCAGAAAATCTCCAGATTTTTAAGAAATTTTCTGATGACCAACTCTCATTTGATAGTGGTTGATATGAGCTAGTAGGGATCCTTGCTCATGGCATAAAATTTCATAAAGAGATCCTCGAAAATCCTATGTTTTGGGTCTCAGATACCTTATTCAGTGATTCACCAGTAGAAACAACTCAACAATTAGAAGAAGCATTAAGAGAATATTATTCAGAAGAAAAATTAGAGATAATGTGAGACACCCTAATTACTTTTTATCTTCAGATAGATGAGACAGAGTTAGAAATGTGGAAAGATGACCCTCTCTCTTTCTACTTTGAGTCTATGAATCCAGAGAAATCTTTCATGCTGAAAGAGCTATCTCATGAGTTCATAAATTCTTTAAAACTCCGTTTCCCTGACTTTTTGAAGAAATATCTTTCTAAAATAAAACAGCATTTGCAGTTAGAATTGGCTTGTCCAAAAGAAGAGGAGATACATTCTAACACAAGAAAGAAGGAAGCCCTCTATAGTTTCATTCAAAAAGGAGCCAATTTCGATAATAAGAGCGAAATGGAAAACATTCTATCTCTCTTAAACTCAGAACTTCATTCGAAGTCCCAGTATAGTGAGATGCTGAAGAGAAGAGTTGTCCTCATTCTGACTTCAATAACCTGTCAATTAGAATCAAAATCTGAGCAAGAGTTGAAAACTTCCTTCTTAGAAAAGGTGATAGACCTTTTCATCTCAGAGACTGATTTCTGTTTAAAACTAACATGAATTTCATTCTTCTACAAGATGTTCAAAGATTATAGATGAGCCTTTGAAGCGTATAAAGGTTACATCCCTACCATACTGAACCACAGCTGTGAATTTATAGTTTATGTCTCTACTCAGAATTCAGGAGGCGGCAATGGGGCTTTTCACCCTGAGACTTATCATGAAGTACTCAAACTATTTGCTTTGTTCTCTCAAAAATACCCTGATACCACTATAGAATACATAGAGTGCAATTTTGTCAAAAGTCCTAGCCTCCCACTTGAGGTTAAAAAGGAGCTTATTCCAGTGATTATTCAGATTCTAGCACTTGTTGAGGATGACAAAATAAGCAAAGAGTTCACAACATTTGTGGCCTCCTTACTCCATGTTGCCAATACTTGCTTCAGTGATCCTATTGTTGAAGACGAAGCTTTGAAACTTCTGCTTATCTATCTCAGGAGGTTGCAGAATTACAAAGGATCAGGGGACAATCCTTTTGTGTTAAGTCTTCAGACTTTCAGACTAGCAGAAAGAATTGTAGATCAATTTAAAATTAAAGAAGATGATATTCTTAATGTTTTCTCAGTCTTAGAAGAAATACATTTTAGCCTGTCTCAAGCAGATACCTCTGAGATCACAGCATCATTAGTTCTAGAAGTGTATAGTAATATCTTCAGGAAATCCTTTAATATTGCTGTAGAGAAGGACGAGTCTTCTATAGTTCTTCTTGCGTGCCAATTTGCAGCAACACTGATTATTTCAAACCATAACGATGAGATAAAGCAGGTATGTCAAGAAGTTCTTCATAAAGCTAAGACAGACATTGTGCAGAGACTTCTTGGAGACCTAACAATGGATCTCGGGCCTCCTGAATTCAAGAAACAGCCAGACGTTCATGACCAAGATTATATAAACGGATTTCTTATTTTATTTAGTGCGATATGACTCGAAGATATAAATGTGTGAAATATCCAAAATATCAATGAGAATCCTTTGGAAATTCAGTTCTTCAAAATTCTAAACTCAATTGGACCAGAGTATCTCTCTGAAATTGACAATCTATTAGACTCTGAAGATGGTGAAGACACAGATTTAAAGCATATATCAGCATGCTTTGCAGTTGTTTATTTGTATTACTGAAATTCTGTATCTCAACAAGGAAACCGGCTAGAATCTCTAATAATCCCTGAAATTCAAGAAGCAAGCATAATCTTACTAAAGAATGCACTGAAGTATAAATCTTGCCTTCTCGAACAAACAAAAGGAGTATTTCCATCCCTAACACCTTCTACAAATGAAGCTGCTGAAGCTTTGCTTCAGGAGGTTTCTGACACAAAGTTTCTTAGGAGTAGGACTAAGCGCAACTACGTATTAAAAACCTTTGAGAAAGAAGCAAGGCTTTTGCAAGAATTGCTAGGAGACAATATTGAACAGGATGACAGAAAGGAGCAGTTTTAGGTGAGTTTGGCATAAATGAGGTGAAAGTGTCAGAAAGACTTAAACTTTGTTAGAGCTGTGATGTTTATACATCAGTTATCTTTAATAATAAGGCAAGAATAATATCTTACTCTACTTTTCAAAGAGAAGCTTATTATTTGGGGTTTTGGGGTTTTGGGGTTTTGGGG